AACCGTGGGTTGTGCCCCAAATTGGCCAAGGTCCAAAAGCCCCCCTAACCGAACTGCCAAAGTGTCGAGCGAGTCAAACCCATATATGCACCTTATTTTTCAAAGAACTTCTGCCTTCCACGAAATATCCTACCTTCCAAGAGAAAGACTTGTCTTCCAAGAGCCCCATGAATCGAACCCGCGACCTCTAAACTGCCTGCCTTGAAGAATTCCGTCATTTAACAGTTGGGATGTGCCTGGGGAGCAAAAAAAAAAAAAGATTTAAATAATATTACTTATATATAATGAAGTTATGTAATGGTTCACATATATATGAGGTTGTCAAAAAGTGAGTGAAAGTTTTTTTTATTTGGTTAAAAAATTTGATCTAAACATATGTCACCATATCATGTGTGTATAAATTATTACGTATTTTTCGTTAAAAAAATAAACTATTTATTGGCAAACAAGGAGTTAATTGTTCTAATGACCATTAAACTTAGATTTATATTTTTGATTGGTCACTGAAATTTAAAATGTCTAATTTTGGTAATTGAATTTAAGTTCATGTCTTCGGTTGCTTCCTAAAATTTAAAATGTCGAGTTTTGGCCACTGAACTTTAAAAAATGTCATACATTACTCATTGCAAACTCGATATTTTTTAAAGTTCAACATTTATGATAGTAACGTACGATATTTTACAAAGTTCATTGACGAAAACTCGACATTTTAAATTTTGATAAATAATCAAAGATATGAAACTAAGTTTAGTGATTAAAATTCGACATTTCAAATTTTAGTGACCAATCAAAGACATGACCTAAGTTCGGTGACCATTAGAATAATTAATTCGCAAACACGCGGGCAAGATTCCGTGGCCAACCCCCGATCCACGCAGTCAAGGGTGTAGGCAGCAACTGCCTGAAACTTAAAATCTATGTATTGAATGCCCAAAATGGAAATCCCCAAAATCATACTGCGCAATTGAAGAAAGAAGAAGAAAAATGGAGGAGGAATCACACTGTATACAAGTGAATGGCATGCAATTCTCATACGATTACAAAATCCCTCTATTCTTCGATTTCAACCTCAATATCTCTGCCGGATCTCGATGCCTCCTTGTCGGCGCCAATGGATCTGGTTCACCTTTTTTTTTTTTTTTTT